GGGAAGATGGATAAAGGAGCAGATAGGTGGAGAGGAGACAGACAAGTCAAGGAGGCTGGGATGGAGCCAGTAAAGGTGAGAGTAAGTGGGGAGTTAGGGTGGGGGTTGGTCAGTCCAGGGAAGACAGACAGGTCAAGGAGGCGGGGATGAGGCTGGTAGGTAGGAGGTGGGGGTGGGGGTTGAAGTGGGAGGAGTGGATAGGTGAGAGAAAGGACGGACAGGTTATGGAGGCAGGGACGAGCTGGGCTGGTTTGGGGATGCGGTCGGGGGCGGGGAGATTTTGAAGCTCGTGAAGTCCACATTGATACCACTGGGCTGCAGGGTTCCCAACCAAAATATGAGGTGCTGTTCCTGCAACCTTCAGGTGGCATTGTTGTGGCACTGAAGGAGGCCCAGGATGGACATGTCGTCCAAGAAGCAGGAGGGGGTGATGAAGTGGTTCACGACTGGATGGTGCAGTCGTTTGTCGTGAACCGAGCGTAGATGTTCCACAAGGCAGTCTCCAAGCCTCAGCCTGGTGTCCCCGGCGTAGAGGAGGCCACGTCGGGAACAGCAGATACAGTATACCACATTAGCAGATGTGCAGGTGAACATCTGTTTGATGTGGAAGGTTTTCTTGGGGCCTGAGATGGGGTGAGGGGGGAGGTGTAGCACTTCCTGCGGTTGCAGGGAGAAGTGCCGGGGAGTGTGGAGCGGACAAAGGAGTCATGGAGAGAGTGGTCCCTCTGGAAGGCAGATAAGGGTGGGGAGGGAAAAATGTCTTTGATAGTGGGGTCAGATTGCAGATGGCGGAAGTGCCAGAGGATGATGCGTTGGATCCGGAGGTATGTGAGGACGAAGGGGATTCTGTTTTGGTTCTTATTGCGGGGAGGGGGTGTGAGGGATGAGTTGCAGGAAACGCGAGAGACGCGGTCAAGGGCGTTTTCGACCACTGTGTAGGGGAAGTTGCAGTAGTTTTGTTTGCAATAAACTAGCTTATTTGTTAGTTAAGGATCCTGGCTAAAGTGTCTCTGAGACTGAGCTATACACGGCCTTATATCCATATACATATGCCAACATCATCTGTCTTTTCAATTTAAACTTAACTACAAGGAAAATAATCTGTTGACCCCTTCTAACTCAGTCGCAACAATCGTCTAGCTGAATCAAATGATTAAACAGTTCTTTCCAAGGGCTGAACAAATTTGATACTTAAGGGTATGGGCATTCTGGAAGAATGACTAGGGCAGGATAGTCTTTTAAGTTGTAAAGAAGGCAAAAGGTTTAAAATCAAGGAGCGGGTGCAATTTACTAAATCTGGAGCTGTATAAATATCATGGTAAGTTTTTGGTTAAAGGTTAGATTGTTGGAAATTTAAAAGAGCAATGGTAAGTAACTTAAGGGACAGTTTCCCCAGTGAAACCAAATTAAGGTGATAAGAGGTGGACTGATCAGTGATACTTATAATACAAATATGGAGATCACGAAAGTCTCAAGTTCAAGGTGATGATTGTGTATGTGGATGTGCAACATTTTATGGATAGAGTGTGTTAGGAAAGAAAGGAAGTGAGTTAACTCAGAAGACAGTAAGAGCACTTAAGAAAGAAGCTGATATTACTGAGGATGAAAGGTCATTCAATACAGAAACTGAGGATGGAAAAGGCATCTTCCTGGGAAACATGGAATTCTATTTGGGTGGGTGGTACAGAACAAGAACTTATAATGAAATACATGAAGGATGGAAGTAGGTGAAATGCTCAACGGATAGGATTTGCAGAGGAGTAGAGGATAGGCCAAGATATGATTTATTATACCACAACCATGATTTGGCTGTGTCAAGTGAGGAAAATATAAATACTTTTAGTGATGCAAATATATACATATATATATATGTAGAAAATATATATTTATCAATATGATATATAATTATGAATGGATTTGCTAGTGAGTAGGGAAAATAATTTTTGACTGAGTACTCAATGGAAAAAGATAATCAATTTGAAACAGTCACAAAAAGTGTGAGGAGAGAAATTACCTGTGAACTTTGGGTCTTCACAAGGTTATAATACTCTGCCATAAAGCTTTAAGAGGAAATTGAAAATATATTTGACACAAGTGACCATGTCCCCACTACTGTGTGCACTTTTGGAAAATAAGCCCAATGCCTGCATCGAAATTTGATCTGTATTGAACATTCTTCTTTACAAACATTACCCACAGTCATCCAATGACTCCTCAACCAACAGAAGACAGCCTGATGTTCAGATGCACTACCATTGTCTACTCTTTCAGTTTTTTTATGCATGGTTAGTCTTCTAGTTCAATACCTACATGTCAATTGCATTTTCCAGGTAAAAATCTGTCATTAAAACTAACTAAATAATAAGGTAAGTGACAAAAGTGCATTAATACAGGTAGAAGAGGCAGCTGTTCATCATCAACTTTCATTGCCATCAACATCATTTTCTAATGGCGCAGAAAGACATTGGCTGGGAAACTGTCTATTGTCCATTTTCAGGGACTTATTCAATGATGTACAGAGGCCAGCCTGAAAGCAGGCCATGGGGAATTATTTACATTATTTGCATGAGCTGCTGCCATCTGTTGTTTTTCTACGGTGGACTCACCATTACTACGGGCTGCTATCCTTGAGGATGATCCTACAAAACAGCACAGCAGAGAAGGAACTGGAAAAGAATGGCTTGGTTAAATGTGACAAAGAAGGAACTATTGAGAAGGGAGAATGAAAGGACAGATGGTGGAGAAGGTAGACAACTGTAGGTTCAGGCTAGGGCAGGTAAAAGTCAGTAAGGTGATTTTGAGTTTGTGGCAACTAAAAGGGGAAAAACAGGAGGCAGTAAGGGTAGAACAACAGAGTTCTAAGAGGTCACTGTAGGCAAAACTGAATTCTAATAGTTGAATTAAGGTTTAATATTTATCTTAAAAGGGAGCTAGTTCTAGATTTCTATTCATTTTCAATTTTTTAAAAATTGCATATTATAATGAGGTGATTCCAGTGATTGTAATGAGGTCAGCCAGGTGGACCTCAATGAGTATGAGTTCTCTGACTGGGACTGTTAATCTGGTCCAGTCAGGGAGCCCTGGCTGATAGATATAAATAGGAATGTCAGTGGTTCTTTTCACTCCAAGAGTTGGCTTTGAGGGGGCTAGATCAGCGTCAAGGGCTTTCCATGTATTAATAAAGGGTGACTTGCTGTTGGGATACTGGCCTCTGTGGAGTTATTTCAATAAATGTAGAATATTAGTAACTGGAAAACATTTTGATGCTGAAATGCAACTCTAGAAGATTCCATTTTCATTAGCAGTTCAATATAAACAAAAATGATTTTCAATGCACAATGGTTATGGATTGTATTAATGTAGATGTCTAACATTTTGGTGCCAGTTACCAGCATTGAAAAGCATAATAGAGGCCTTTAGAGTCCAGTGGGTATCGCAGGGGCTGGGGTGCATCATCACTCTGGATAATGCTATTTTGATTTGATAAGTTTCTGTTCCATAAGTTCCTTTTAACTGTTTGTTCTGTTACAATTTCCCATTGACTAACTTGTTAACATTTGTTGTTTTAAGAGCAGAAAGGCATCTGCATGCTCCAACTCCATTTATATTTTATTCAAATGTGCTGTTTGATGTCTAAATTATTTTACAAACATGATCTCCTGCTTAAACTAATGGTTCTCAGACTCATTGTTGAAAATGGTCACATGGTGTGGTTTACTCTGTCACAAGCAACTGATACCCTACTCACTACTGAGCTGTCTAAAACTATAAATACAAACACAGGAGAGTTCTGTCACTCAAGATACACAACAGCAAACTACACTTACATATTTAATGTAAGCAAACATTTCTTGACACTTCACAGATTTTCATCCAAAAAAGATTTATTATTTTTAATGAAATGTAGATGGGTGGGTTAGTAAGTTTGTAGATGATACAAAGATCAGTGGAGTTGTGGATAGTGTAGAAGGTTGTCAAAGGATACAGCAGGATATAGATCAGTTGCAGATCTGGGCAGAGGAATGGCAGACAGAGTTTAATCTGGGTAAGTGCGAGGTGCTGCAGTTTGGGAAATCAAATGTTAAGGAAAAATATAGTCAATGGCAGGACCCTGAACAGCACTGCCATACAGAGGGATCTTGGAATGCAAGCTCATAACTCCCTGAAAGTGGGCATGCAAGTAGATAGGACGGTAAAAAAAGGCATATGGCACGCTTGCATTTATTGGTCAGGGAAGTGAGTACAGCGTCAGGATGTCATGTTGCAGCTTTATAAGACTTTGGTTAGGCCACACTTAGGGTATTGCATTCAATTCTGGTTGCCACATTACAAGAAGGCTTTGGAGAGGGTGCAAAAGAGGTTTACCGGATGCTTTCCAAATTAGAGGGTACGAGCTGTAAGGAGAGACTAGAAAAACTCTGGTTGTTTTCTCTGGAGCGGCAGAGGCTGAGGGGAGACTTGATAGATGTCTATAAAATTATGAGATGCATAGATAGGTTTGACGGTCAGAATCTTTTTACCCCAGAGTTGAAATGTCTAAAACTAGGGGGCATGCAGTTAAGGTGCGGGGTGTATGTTCAAAGGAGATGTGAGGGGCAATTTTTTTTTGTTTTACACTGAGCGGTAGGAGCCTGGAATGCACTGCTAGGTGTGTTGGTGGAGGCTGATACAATTGGGTCATTTAACAGACTTTTAGATAAGCACATGAATGTGCAAGGAATGGAGGGATATGGACCAAGGGCAGGCAGAAGGGATTCATTTAATTTTGTGTCATGTTTAGCACAATATTGTGGGCCAAAGGGCCTGTTCCAGTGCTGTACTGTTCTATGTTCTATGTTTATTGTTGATTAACTAGCTTTAATAATAACCCAAAGACATGAAATAATAAATCAAATATAAAATCCAAACAATGCCAAGTATCAGACAACTGTACCCTCTAAAGATAAAGGGAAAAGTACCTGGAAGAGAGTTAATGACAGGTAGGAGAATTGTACACTAACCAGTGATGGAAGAAAAGGTGCAAGGATTCCTCCCAATCTAGCAGACATTGAACAAATGCCCAGCCCAACATTCCTACAGGAAAACAAGGCAATAATAAGCAATTATTTGAAATTTCAAAATATATAATCACAAATCAACATGTAAATAGCTCAGCACAAAGTCCCCATACTTGTGACAACCTCAAAGAGCATGGTCCCCTTTTGTAAACAGATACCTCAGAATTTTTGAAAACTTGTTTCTACTTTGATATTCTGGATCCTTTGAAAATTGTTCTTCAAATGATTGAAATGACAGGCATTAAGCTCAAATAGAGAAATTAAGCAATCAGCTTCAAAACAATTCTCAATGATGTCACCACTTTTAAAAATTAAAATATCATATGAAAAGATTTAAATTAATAATAAAAATGGACTTACTCCTAGCTGTACACAAATGGGGGCAATCGAAGATCACAATACATGAGGCAACTTATAGCACTTCTGAGTTTAGTTATTTTGCTAAGCCTGTATGCTAACAACATGCACTTGTATTGCACATTTAACATAATGAATGCATCAAAATGGCTCACAATAAAAATTAATTTTAAAAATCTGGCAATCTGTGATCTAACACCTGAAGATTAGCTTGGTACTGACTGGATCATTATAAAAGGTACGTCTTGTACCAATATTCTTCAGAGAAGTGAATCAGCTACCCTTACCTAGTCTAGCCTACATATTACTCCAATCTCACAATGTATGATTGATTCTTAAAGCTCTGGGAAATAAATTGGGGATTGCTAGTGTCATGACCACTACAAGAACAAATAGAATTTCACTGGACAAAAGCTTAACAATTGAGAAAATCACAACATAACTGAGACAGTTAATGGGATATCAGAAAGACACACATGCAATCACCCTTATAGTTTCAACCACTGCAGACATACCTGACAGATGTGGGATAGAGTTCAGAGCTGTAAACGTAGACCACATTAAATGCGGCACTTATTGAAAGTTTACCCATTATAGAAAATGTTTGACTGTTGATAACAGAAAATATTCCAGAGCCTGAAATAAGAAAATAGTGAAGATAGAACGTTTTGTATGAAATCTGCACAGCAAAAAAATCAACCCATGTAATTTAATAGCATGTGATATCAATTTGGAAGCAATAAATCAGATTTATAAAAGGAAAGGAAAAATGATCTCAAGAATATTAAATAACTGATGCTGAAAAATATCCATTTGAGCAATGTTAAGGCAAGGCTCAATTTCAGCTGTGAAACTCTGCAAATTTGAACGTCATGGCATCATTATCTGGATTCAACATGACAACTGGTCATAATGAGTGATGGTACTTATTAAACTGTACTCCTGTACCAATCAGCAACTTCCAGAGGACACTGTAAATAATTTATACTGAATAAACAAAAAGTGAAATAGCACAAAGTAAAAATTCCTGAACCAGATGACAAATTTCACTGATGATAAAAAGGATACGGTACAAAACATTCCCAGAGTGCAAGAATATCAAATGTTTAAGTGCTATAAGCAATTATTTAGTAACACTGCTGCACTAGAGAAATGATATTAATTGGTAAATATGAACCTAAATATTCCAAAGATTCATAATTACAGTAACCTATATTCTTCACTTAATTCTCTGAATATCTACATCTATGCTGAGTACTCAGATAAAAATAGGCTTGCATTATCTTTCCATCACAGAATTCATGATTTGTGACCAACATGCATTGGTTCCAGTGGGTAGGCAGCACACATATTTGGTGCTATCACCTCACTTAAGTGGGCACTGGGCTGAGCATTTTCCACCTTGCCAGATGCCTCTGCTTTGTGTTCAACATGGAGGGGAGCCGTGTATGCTAACATGAGATACAGTCGATTTGGATCTTAGAGGCAGGCTCTCTCTCTAAAAGAAATATTCTTCTGAATTACAGCAGACTGTTGTTGAAGCCAATTGTTTTAATTCTAAACAAGGAAAATAGAACATCAGAACAGAGAGACGTCTTCAAGGTCTCTAATGCAGTTTTTGGAGACCTTGCTAGTGGAAGTAGACAGGATGAGAAACATCAAGGTTCGATGCCAGGTCAGCAGATCTCAAGGAAAAACAAAAAAATTGGGAGCTTATGGTAAAGGAAATCAAATCTAATGTCTGGATTCAAAGGCTGTTTATATGTTAGCAGTGAGTTACAGGTTACATTGATATGATAGTTTGTTGTAGTGTAGAGTCCCTGTCTCTGAGCCAGAAGGCCTGGGGTCTAGTCCCACCTATGTCTGAATGGGTTTATTAAAAACATCCGCATTGATATGACTGGTATTGTTACATAAAGACTTTCAGGAGGACCAGATGTTAGGTCTCAATCCTGCAAGGTCCTAGGCTGTTCTGCTCACAAGTCCATATGACATCACAACATATGAGCAATACACCTCAGTACTGATTTTTTCAGACCCATATTCAACAGGTGACAGTTCAAACTATAATACGTTCACTTCTGTACAAACAGTATATGTGGAACATTTACTTTAACACTTTGAGATCCAACGGGGTCTTGACAAGGTAGGTAGGGAGGAGATGATCCCTGTTATGGCAGAATCAAGAACAGTGATTAAAAACTAGGGGGCTCCCATTTAAAATAGATTAAGTACATTTTTTTTATCTCTCAGAGGGTCGCAAACTTTTGAAATTCTTTTCTCCTCATCTCAGCCCTAAATAGACTATCTTGTGTCTTTAAACTGTGATCCCTGTTTCTGGACTCCCCAGTCATCTGGAACATCCTTCCTACATTTACTCCGACTAGTCCTGCTAGCATTTTATAGGTTTCTAAGATTTCTCCCTTCATTCTTCTAAACTCCAGTGAATATATCCTAACTGATCCAATTAGTGTTCATTTGGCTCTGCCATTCCAGGAATCTGTCTTGTAAATCTTTGTTGCACTCCTTTCATAGCTAGGAAATTCCTCCTCAGATTGGGAGGCCAAAACCATATGCAATACTCCAGATATTTTCTCACCAAAGCCTTGTACAATTGCAGCAAGACATCTCTGTTCCTACATACTAATCCTCTCGCTATGAAGGCCAACATATCATTTGCCTTCTTCACTGCCTACTGCACCTTCATGCTTACTTTCAGGCATTCAGATAATAACCTGCCTTCCTGTTTTTGTTACAAAGTAAACAACCTCACAATTATTCACATTATACTTCATCTGCCAAACATTTTCCCACACACTCACTTTGTCCTAATCACACAGAAGCATCTCTGCATCATCCTCACAGTTCTCTCTCCAACCCAGCTTTGTGTCATCTGCAAACCTGGAGATGTTACGCTTAGTTCCCTCATCTAAATTATTAACATGTATTACGAACAGCTAGGATCACAGTATTGATCCCTGCACTACCCCAACAGTCACTGACCTCCACACAGAAAAAGAATTACTAATTTCTACTCTTTGTTTTCTGTCTGCCAACCAGCTCTCTATCCATGTCAGAGTAACTCACTGTTTTATTATCCCCAAGAGTGAGAATCAAGAAATAACTGCATTGTTTTAATTTATAGTCATATGAAAATTTCTAATAAATTAAAACATGTGAGGTCACCAATAGTAGATAATACATATTTTGCACACAAAACTTTCTGCAGATAAATGCACATCACCACTCAACTGCTACCTTTAACATTAGTTCTAGCTCAGTGTAGTCAATTGCTGAGATTGTTGTAATCTCAAACGATGGTACATCCACAGGTTTCTACACCAGGCTTCATTAAAGTGAGAAATCATGCACAGCGTAGATGGTCCTGAGTTAGTGATTTATGTGCAACTCCAGTAACGGTAACGTTACTTCACGGTATTATTTACAAAAAACAAACGGTAGCTCATAAATTTCCCATTCTCCACAGTGTACACTTATTCGCTGACTGATGAGTGTCAGATAATTCCAGCGAGATTGGGCTCTTTGTGGTTAAAAGTGGCAAGGCAGTAAGCAATATGCAGCACGATCAAGTGGCCTGAGAATTTGAAAAACTAACCATCATTGTACAAAAACAGTTTGAATGCATGCAATGGTACAACCAGACACTAGCATCAGTTCAACTAATTTTCTGGCAGCGATATTCATCGCTTTGATCAGTAATAAAGTAATGAAATAAAATTTCTGATTGTACACGTACAGAAATTAAAGATTGACATGACCTTTGACTAAGTGACAAATATACAAGGTATTTTAGTAATATGTTTAACTTACCTTTCTTTTCTGGCAACAAAATTATAAAAAGACAAGCTGCACCTCCCAGGAGAAGGAATCCTGCTAATGTCCGTCTACGACCTGACCTGATGGAAGAGCAGGGTCAATAACAAGTGGCAACAAATCAGTTGTTCAGCCATCTTTTTGCCATTCTGCAATATATTTTCTGAGTATCAACAGTGAATTCTTCTGCTTTCCTTACACAAATTAAAAACTATTCATGGATCACAACACAAAATATAACTAGACTGCAGGTACAGCAGGTAACAAAGGAAGGCAAATGGAATTTTAGCACTTATTGCTAAAAGAATAGAGCATAAAAGTAAGGAAATCTGCTGCAACTGTACAAGGCATTAGTGAGACTGCACTTTGAGTACTACGTGCAATTTTTGTCCCATTACTTGAGGAGACGAGCAGCTGCATTGGGGGCTGTTCATAATAGATTCACTACATTGATTCCAGAGAATGAGGGGTTTGTCTTGTAAAGAGAGGTTGAGCACTTCAGGTCAATACTCTCTATAGAATAAAAGGAAACCTAATTGAGGTATACAAAATGCTAAAGGGGATTAACAAAGGAGACACAGAGAGGATTTTTCCTCATGTGGGGCAATCTAGAATGAGAGGTCATTGTTTTAAGATAAGGGGTAGCAGATTTCAAACAGAGATGAGGAGAAATTACTTCTCTCAAAGAGGAGTGAATCTATGGAATTCACTACCCAGAGTGTGGTGGACATTGCAGCACTGTCTAAACTTAAATAGCAGATAGGCAGATTTTTAATTAATAATGGGTTGATGGGTTATGGCCAGTGGACAAGAAAGTGGAGTTGAGGCCAAGATGAGATCAGCCATGATCTTATTGAATAGCAGAACAGCCCAAGGGCTGAATTGCCTACTCCTGCTCCTAGTTCTTATAAAGAATAAATAATTAACATTGTTATTTTCATTAATATTGTATAATATGAATTTATTTTTCTTCCTATTTTCAACTCTCAAAAATGATTGTTTCATTAGAATATGTCACACAAAACCAGATTAAGTCAGTTACTGAAAATGCTGCCACATAATTTAACAAAATTTACAAAATTAGGGCACAAGCATTAAATGATCAAAATAATTTATATTTTTATACCACAGAACAGAAATGTATCATAACCATGTTAAAAATTGATTTCTTACTCTAAAATGCTACGTAATTAAGGAGCATATATTTTGTGCTTTATCAGGATCCCACAAACAGCAGAACCAGTTAAACCAATTTTGACAGTGCTGGCTGAGGGGAATACTGAAAGCATGGTAAGCTGTGGACTTGCTTACAGTTTGGGATTTTTAGAATCCAATCTGAATTCCCAGTTTATTCAAAAGACAGCACATCTGCCACCACAGCAAACCTCAGTTTTATGATGTTAATTTAGGAATACGGTTTGAATCAACAGCTTTCTGACTCAAAAAGATATGGGGATAATGATACTAATAGACCCACTGAGATAAACGCAGTTTAGTGATTAAACTTCTGAACTAAATCTAAGCAAATATTCAATTAAATGTGCCACTAAAAAATGCAATAATCTGCAGTCAGGCCATTCATGTTAAACAACTGAAAGATTGGCTAAGGATTGTAAATGGTTGTTAACATCGGCTCAAAGTTCAAAACAGACAACACTATTGCTGATAGATTGCAAAAATAAATCAATGAATATCAAGATAAAATAGAAAATGATTTTAGAAAGTGAATGAGCAACAAATAATCAAAGAAGTGAAAGATTTTGTAAAGGCATTTGCATATAGAGAGGAGTATTGTCAACTCACCAAGAGCGGTTCAGCAGAAAGAAACATAGAGGATATGAAGGCAACTCAGCTATTCCCGAAAGTGCTACGTTTAGATATTGATTACCGCCCATGTCAGCAGCATTTAGAGTCAGACCATAATATACAAGACTGCATACTAACCTAATGTGGAAAGAAAGAGAGCAAAAATTACAAGATTATTACGTAGAAGCTCAAAGCAAATATTCCTGGCTTTATTCCCTCATCTAAAATCATTTTGTTTGTACTCATAATTTATTCAAGTTCAAAAAAACTATCAAGAATTTTAACAATTTTTAACAAGTTGACAGGAGTAAGAGCCCAAACATGGCATAACAGAAAATCCTGTCACATGATTTGAAACCTGTAAAAAAAAGTCATCTTAAAACACAGATAGAAAGAATTACACTTTACATCTACGTCTGTTGAATTTCCAATCTCAGTTGTGTTGGAAGACAGTAGTGGGATAAGGAAATGAAATACACCAACTGTTCTCAAGCCTCCTAGCTCCAGATTGAAGAAGTCCAAATGTATGTAGTCTGCTTAGTCACAACTGCAATACAACACACATGATAAAACATGTGGAACAGAAATAAATTATTTGGCTTAACCAGTCCATGCTGGTATTAATGCTCTACTAAGCACCGTCTTCTTATCTTTCCTCTTCTAACCTATCAACGTAATCTTCTATTTCCTTCTCCCTCATATGCTTATTTAGACTTCCAATAAGTCCATCAATACCATTTGCATCAACCAATCAATGTAGTAGCAAAACTAGAACACAAAATGATGTATTTGAGACATACCAAACATACATCATTATCAATGTCCGCCGCAAGAGAACTCGATCCCGGAAAAGATCAAGGATACTACTGGACTTATCATCAATTTCTCCAGTCGGTGGCTTCAGAATCACCGAATACTTCTGTTGACCATTCTTCTTTGCAAAGTTCTCAAGTATATCCTTTGCTTCATTCCACCGCCCTTGAGCATACAGCCAATGTGGAGATTCTGGGATATATCTACAAACAGGTCAGTCACAATATATTTTTTGTGAAGGTAAAACTTAGTAACAGCTAAAACAGACACACAGATCTCTATATACTCATTTCAACCAGACAGGAAAATGAAAATTATGCAAATCACAAATGACGCAACTAACGCTTGCCACAAATAAAAAAAAAATACAATAAGTACTTATGTGATGAAGGAAAACCTTCCAGTGAAAATAGCCTTCCATTACTTATAATTGCATATAAAATTTTCTTGCAGCACAATGCCCATTTAGGGGCAGCACAGTGGTTCAGTGGTTAGCACTGCTGCCTCACAGTGCCAGGGACCCAGGTTCAATTCCAATCTTGGGCGATTATCTGTGTGAACTTTGCATATTCTTCCTGTGTTTACGTGGGTTTTCTCCAGAATGTTTCCTCCCACAGTCCAAAGATGCGCAGGGGTTAGGAGGTCTGGCCGTGCTAAATTGTCATGTGTCGTCCAAGAATCTGCAAGCTAGGTGGGTTAGCGATGGTAAACACAGAATTACAGGAGTGGGGGGGGGGGTGCGGTTCTCAGTGGGATGTTCTCTACAGGGGCATTAAATGTAAGTACAAATTCCATGAAAAGAAAAAAATTAAAAGCACTTTCTACTGCTCTTAAATTTGTAAACTATTGGGAGCAGTAAAACTTGTAGTATTTTAATTACAGACAGTCCCAGAGTTGCAAATGAGCTCTATTCTTCAGTATGTTCGCAAGTCAATTTGTACTCAATCTGGGCCACAATGCAGGACACCAGAAAACAGCCTTTTGTAATTACGAGGAAATGTTTTTATGTCAGATCTATAAAATTACACCCCTGTATGGGATCATGTTTGTAAGTGAATCAGAGGACTGAATGATTTGACAGGGTTGGCTGGGGGCGCTGGAATGTGCACTCTAATTAATCCTGAGGTGTAATTGAACTGTGTCACCAGAATGTTTTTCCCTCCATTCATAACACCAATGTTTTCTTGTCTGTTGTCCATGAATAAATAAAACAAAAGATGATAGTGAAAGGTGAATACAGCTTTATCAGTTAAAATTAAAGACAATATTCTAATAGTAAGGGAGGTTAAAAATCACCAAAAAGCAGGTGAAAAAGGGGTGAGGAAATTTTTATGTGCGATAATTTATTTTTAAAGTACAGTTCTTAAAATATACTCATAGTAGCTGGTGTTTACAAAATAAGATCCCAAAAGTACCAAGGGAGCCAAATTATGAGATTTGGCATGCAATAAGCTAATGTGAATTAAGTGTTAAATGAAATTATATTTGAAGGATTGGATCAGAAGACGAATCTCAGGGTTGATATGGTCAAATCACTAAGATAAACAGCACAATCTTCTTCTCTGCTAAAATAAAACCAAACAGAATCTTGGGATAAACCGCCAAGGATATTCTCTGGACATTTAAATCTGTACTTGATCCTGGTGAGACAACACTGGAGTGCTGTGGCTGTACGAGTTTGTGTGCTTCAAATAGGGGTATGGAGACCAGATGCACAGCTAATCACAGAATTTTAAAAAGTTAACTACTTAGATCTTCCCTCTCTTATAGAGTCAAAGAGTCGAATCCCACAGAAACAGACCCTTCAGTCCAACTTGTCCATGCTGATCAAGTTTCCCAATCTAAACTAGTCCCATTTGCCTGCGTTTGGCCCATATCCTTTAAACCTTTCCTATACTTGTCAAAAATATATTGTAACTGTATCTGCATCCACCACCTCCTCTAGCAGTTCATTGCCCATATGAACCACCCGCTGTGTGAAAAAGTTACTCCTCAGGTCCCTCTGAAATCTTTCTACTCTCACCTTAAAATTATGCCCTGTAGTTTTGAACTCCCCCACCCTAGGGAAAAGATCTTTGCTATTATCTAAGCCCGTCATGATTTTATAAATCTCTATAAAGTCACCACTCAACCTCCTACGCACCAGTGAGAAAAGTCCCAGCCTATCCAGCCTCTCCTTATAACTCAAACCCTCCATTCCTGGCAACATCTTTGCAAATCTTTTCTGAACCCTTTCCAATTTAGTAATATCCTTCTTATAGCAGGGTGACCAGAAATGTACACAGTACTCCAAAAGTAGCCTCGTCAACGTCCTGTCCAACGTCAACATGATGTCCCAACTTCTATACTCGACAGTTTGAGCAATGAAGGCAAGCATGCTAAACGCCTTCTTAACCGCCCTGTCTATCTGCAACACAACTTTCAAACACCTAATGAAATGTTTAAATAAAATACTGAGAAAAATATTATAAAACTAAGCACAAAAAGGAAAACCAAGAAGAACGTTATATTTTTCATAAGCTGAAAGGATGATATTTATATGGAAAACCTCTGGCATTGGGCTAGAGCAAGACAGACTTAGGGAGGAACAAGACAAGTTCTTGTTAACAAACAGGGCTTAACAGTATTAGAAATGTGCTGACAGAATTCTGTAGACAGGTTTGTTAGGTGAATCAGAGTCCTTGTCCTGTCTGAAAATATTTTTAATATCACGAATTCTGATAATAATTATTGAAATACCTCTTCAAACAACAATAATGAAAAGCCATGATGGCAAAGAAAAACAAAAGAAATTAATAAGTTATATGGTGAGCTGCTGAACAAACTTTATAATTTCTGTAGTGCTCAGCTCAACAGGATTGACCTCATAATAGCTTTTTGAAGCTGAGGAATAAACATGAGTGAAGCTTGGGTGACAGAGGCAAGTCATCTGCACATTCAAATCTGCAGCAATACAATCACATGACAAATTAGAGCTAATCTTTTAAATTAGGTTTTAAATAGTGTTATGTAGCTATTGCATAATTACAATATAGATAAATGGATCAATTGCAAACACCTTAGGCAAGATTCATGTTTCATGGGAGATGAATCACATGATTTGGGAATGGTGATGGACAGAAGGAGAAACTGCTCCATAATAACTTAAAATCAATATCAAATATGATTGATATACTCAAAATAGTATCTGTTGAGATTTCAGTTGGAATGTACTTATTAAACTTGAACAAATTCAATTTATTTTTAGGCCACTTATAAAATAATTTTTCAAATAAACAAAATTACTTCTGGTTTAGACTTTTTCAGAAACATTGATAGGATGCTGACAGGTCATTTGCTCTTATGAAGAATTGAGGACTGGACGGCATAATATCAAAGTAAAGGATGATACATTTTAGACAGAGATGAGGAGGAGTTTCTTCTCTCAGATGGTTTGAATCTATGAAACTCTTTACTGCAGAGGAATGTTGACAGTGGCCATTAAATATATTCAAGGCTGAGATAGATTGATTTTTATCAGGAAGGAAATTCAGGTTCTTGAGGAAAGATAGAAAAGTAAAACTGAGGATTATCGAAGCAAGCATGATCTCCTTGTATGGTGATGCAGACAGAATGGGCTGAATGATCTACTTTTGTACATAAATCATAACAGTCATAGAGTACAGAAGAGGCTCATTGAATCTGCACCAACCTACCTATACTAATCCCACTATCCAGCACTTGGCCCTGAGCCTTGAATGTTATAACATTTCAAGTGCTCACCTGTGTACTTCTAAGATGTTGTGACGATTTTGCCTCTGCCACCTTCCCAGACAATACATTCTAGATTCCCACCACCTTGTGGATGAAAAACGTTTTCCTCAAAACCTCTCTAAGCGTCCTGCCCTTGATCTTAAATTATGTCTTATGGTCTTACAAAGAAGAAAGGGTTTATTAAATACGCAGATTTGGCCTAGTATTGTTAAAGTGCTTCAAATTTTCAAGAAATTACTTGTAATATTATTTTTCAATATAGTAAGATTCAAAAACAAATAGAAATAGTCATTCATTAGCAAGAAGAAAAAGGATTCCAAAGTTTCTAATGTTCTGTAAAAGGCAATAACTCATAGGGCAGCATCCAAAAACAAGATGTTTGTCTTGAACCAGAAAATTACTGTTTCTAATTTATATTTTCCTCTGCTGCATATGGAATCTCCAACTTACAAAGATGGGAGCAGAATGAGTATGCCTTCAATATTAAGCACAATGGCCAAAATCCGCCATGGTCGAATAAAGTATCCAAGCAATGCATATAGAGAAATTCCAACAGCAAATGAAACACTCTGTAGTGACCCTAGAAAGATAAAAAAACAATTTAAATTTCGCATCAATTCAACAATATTTATTTTGTAATCATGCTGTGTCTTATTGCTACTTAATTACTTCAATGTTAGCCTCAGCTACCAGCAACTTCTTCAGGCTCAGCATTCTATTTTGTTCCTCAAACTCTGTCTATTAGGCCCCTTAGAGTCATAGCATCATGCAGAATGGAAACAGACCCTTCAGTCCAACCAGTACATGTCAACCATGTTCCCAAACTAAACTAGTCCCACCTGCCTGCATTCAGCCCATATCCCTCCAAATCTTTCTTATCCAGAATTTATCCAAATGCCTTTTAAACATTGTAACTGTATCTGCATCCACCACTTTCTTTGGTAGTTCACACACGAACTATTCTCTGCGTAAAAAAGTTGCTCCTCATGTTCTTTTTAGATCTTGCTCCTCTCACCTCAAAAATATGCTCCCTAGTTTTGAATTCCCCAGCCTAGCAGAAAGATCCTTGTAATTCACATTATCTTTTCCCCTCATGATTTTATAAACCTCAATAAGGTAACTCCTCAATTTCTTAAGCTCCAGTGAAAAAGTTCCAGTATTTCCAAACTACTTTTTATCTCAAACCTTCCATTCCCAGCAACATCCTGGTAAATCTTTACTGAACCCTCTCTAGTTTTGACAATATCCTTCCTACAACAGGGCGACCAGAACTGCACACATTACTCCAGAAGAAGCCTCACTAACATCCTCTACAACCTCAACTTGACATTCCAACTCCTATACTCAAAGGTCTAAGCAATGAAGGCAAGCATGCTAAACACCTTCTTAACCGTCCTGTCTCCACGTGACACAAATTTCAAAGAATTATGTATCTGAGCCCTCAGGTCTCTCTGTTCTACAACACTACCCAGAGCCCTACCAATACTTGTACAAGTCCTGACCTTGTTTGTTTTACCAAAATGCAATGTCTCACGTTTATCCAAAAATTAAACTCCATCTGCCACTCCTCATTCACCCAACTGATCAAGATCTCTTTCTAATCTTAGACAACCTTCTTCACTGACAACAGCACCACCAATTTTGGTGTCATCTGCAAACTTACTAACCATGCTTCCTGTATTCGCATCCAAATCATCTACACAAATGACAAACAAAAATGGATTTAGTATTGATCCCAGTGGAACACAGCTGGTCACAGGCCTCCAGTCTGAAAAACCTCCACCCTCTGTCTCTGAATATAAAGCCAAGTTTATACCCGCTGAATCCCATGTGACCTAACTTTACTAATTGGTCTACCATGCGGAACCTTGTCAAAGACTTTATTAAAGTCCAAGTAAACAAGGTCAACCTCTCTGCTCTCATCAATCTTTTTGGTTACTCCATTAAAAAAATCTCAATCAAGGTTGTGAGACATGATTTTCCTCACACAAACTCCTACTCTCTCGCTTTTAATGTATTTGCAGAATCTTTTTGGATTATCTTTAACCTTATCTGCCAAGGCTATCTCATATCCCCTCTTTGCCTTCCTGATTTCCTTCTTAAGAATGCCCCTACATTCTTTATATACTTCAGAAGATTCAGTTCATCCCAGCTGTCTGTATCTAATTTAGGATTTTTTTTTATTCTTGGCTAGACTTCAATAACTTTATTCATTCAATTGTTCCCTAATCATACCAGCCATGCCTTTCACTCTAACAGGTGTATAATGCTTCTGAACTCTTGTTATCATACTTTTGAAGGCCTCCCACTTGAGTCATCCTTTTACCTAAGAACACATTTAACAAAAACAGCAGTATTGGACTCAACAGCAGTCTATCATTAGCCTTCACAATATTTTTTTAAAACCCGAGCTGAGATAGCAGGATTGAGTTTAAGATTCCAAGCACGTAACTTTTATGTATTAAACATAAAAGCAGAGACAATATGATGTGTTGAGTGGGTAGGTTAGCAAAGGGAAAGAAAAATGTACTCAAGATAAACAGCCATAGTTTCCCAGATCTGCTAAAAAGTGAATATCATAGTATTCACTGCATTGCTTCCCCAGAGGATCCACAAATTGGATGCAGTGTGCTTTCTTCTCGAAAAGAGAAGACTTTATGATTACGAGATAGTTTAACAGAATAGGCATAGAGAAAATGCTTCCACCTCTGGAGGAGATCAAATCTGGAAGCCATTAAATAAAAAGTAGACATTAATAAATTTAACAATAAACTCAAAAGAACCTTCTTTAACCAACCAAACAAAAACAAATTGGAGGAACTCAGCAGGTCTGACAGCATCTGTGCAGAGAAAACAGAGTTAATGTTTCAAGTCAAAGAATTCAAAGATCAAAGAATCCCTACAGTGTGGAAACAGGTCCTTTGGCCCAACAAGTCCACACCGACCCTCAGAGCATCCCACCCAGACCTACCCCCCTATAACCCACCTAATCAACACATCCCTGAACATTACGGGCAATTTAGCATGGCCAATCCACCTAGTCTGCACATCTTTGGACTGTGGGAGGAAACCAGAGCACCCGGAGGAAACCTGTGACCTATCTTCAGAACTAGAAGCAGTTACGAAAAATTGGTAGATAACTCACAGTCTTCAGGACTCAACACCGAGTTTAACAATTTCACAGCATGAACACCTACTTCCAGGTCTATTACCTACCCCCACAACCTCAGGTGCTATCATGAAATGGATTTCATTTAACACAGCCAACCTATTTTCAAATACTCATAGTCCCTGTTATCACTTATCTAGCTTCTCTTTTTCCATGGCTTACAATCAACAATCCATCTGCCTGATGACACTTTTCTCTCTCTCTCTCTGAGATCTGTCTTCAAGTATCACACACTCATTTAACCATGACCCCACACCCCTACTCCCACTCCCACCCCTCATCATCATGAATACTACTAAAACCTAGCTGCCTCTAGTTCTGAAGGAAAATCACTGGACTCAAAATTTTAACTTTGATTTCTCTCCACAGATGCTGCCGGAAGTGCTGAGTTTCTCCAGTATTTTTCTGCTTTGTTTGTTTCAGTGCTAAAGCATCTGCAGTTCTTTGTTTTATTTTACTTCTTTAACCAAAGATTGGTACTGGCCACCAAAAGTAGTTCAGACAAGCCGTATAAATATGTTTAAAGCTGGATAAATATGAGGAAAGGAAGGAGCAAAAGATTGTTTTGATAGGGCTAGAGAGAGGCAATAGCCTAGTGGTATTATCACTGGACTGTTAATCCAGAGATCCAGACAATATTCTGAGTACCTGTGTTCAAATCCCACCACGGCAGAATTAGGAATCTATTGATAATCACGAAACCATTGTCGATTACTGGGGAAAAACCCTTCTAGTCCACTAATGGCCTATAGGAAATGAAACTGCCATCCTTATCTGGTCTGACCTACATGTCACTCCAGAACCACAGCAATGTGGTTGACTCTCACTACACCCTCTGGGCAATTAGGGATGGGCAATAAATGCTATCTAGCCAGTGATGCCCTCATCCCATGAATGAATAATGAAGGCTAAGAGGAATTGGACCAGGTTTGTGTGAAGCATAAGCCCAGATATGGACCATTTGTTCGCATGGTCTGTTATCATCCTACACATAACTATGTATTCTTAGGATTTGAAGACTGCCAAGAGGGATGTAAAACCAGGCACAATGATAACAGACTAGTCTGCTTTACTTGTAATGCTCTTATTAACCTATACCTTGTATAGCAAGTTTAAACTAGTGGCAACATTGGATCACTCAGTAGTTTTTTTCTTTCCCAATGAAACACACCCTAAGAAAAAACATACAGTAGTTGCACACACGTGCTTCTCTCATCATGTGCCTTAAAAAGGAACAATATGGATATCTTACCAGTTAGTGCCCAACAAGAAACAGGCACATACTCCTGGAGTAGAACAAAGGACACCAATGACATTCCTCCATTCATCATGCCAACACCAAAACGGGATACCACAAAGATTTCATATGTAGGAGTGACTCCACTTACAATTCCAAGTATTATATCTAGAAAAAGACCTAGGCAAATAACAAATCATCTTAGAGTAATTTCACACAAAGGTCCAGTAGTTTACAAGTTTTAGGCAAAAGGAAACCAATTCTAGCCTCGTAACCACCTCAAAAAAATGTTTAATATTGTTTGGAAAATTTTTTTGACATTGTCTATAATATAAATGCTTCATTTCTGGTGTGAATAAACAAAATTGCCATCAAAGTGGGAGTGGAAGAGCCACTAGAGTATCCACATGCATTTTTGGAATTGTTCTGAGGCAGTGATGATGTTTGATGAGGCTGATGGGTGTGACACTCTGGATTCTACACGCCCTTTCTACTTGGCCTCCACATGCTCCATTTGGTGATGTTCAAAGTGGTTGGTGCCTTGGCAGATGCTTCCTCTCCAGTTTGTGCATTCAAGGGCAAGTGATTCCCATGTGTTAAGGGGATATTGCATTTGTTTATGCAAGCTTTCAGGTGTCATTGTAGCATTTCCTCTGCTCTCCTGGTGATCAATTATAATTGCACAGTTTAGAGTAGTGCACTAGCTTATGAAGTCTTCTATTGGGCATATAAACAATGCGGCCTGCCCATCGTGCATGACAAGTGCTCGATCTGTGGATGTTGGACTGGATGATGACGTCAACCTTCTTACTCCTCTGATGCTGTCTGACCTGCTGTGTTGCTCAGCTCCACACTGTGTTAACTCTGGTACAGAATCTTTGTGTTCCAGATGTTTAATTTGAGGATCATTCTCTCAAATGCCTCAGTGAATGTGTCTGTAGTGATTTGTACCTCGTCCTGATTGTGTGCACATGCAGACATCATCTGTACTGAAACTCAATGATAGAAGTTGGTCTTAGTTTTGACCTGGAAGGGAAGGTTGAACAGTATCCCAAATACCCTGTAGGTTAACTCCATTTCAGGGGCCTGGGGGGGGCGGTGTTGGGGTTCGTGCGGTAGTAGTTTCATGGAGATGGGGTGGAATGCTGTGGTGAGGCAAGTGGAGAAACTCTTTCACTTAGAGTGCTGAAAATCAATAAGAAAAAGAAATCAGGATACAAGTCAGAATTGTACAGGAGTTTGAGCAAAGAGCACTATGACATGATATATAGCAAAATCAGATAAGAAGTGTAGCAAGACCCATCTCAATGGCGGCAGCAATTTGTTCCATCTGTAATGCTTTTCATGAGTGGCGTGACAAGTTTCTTGCTAGGCAGTGATGAATTGCTAATTAAGTGGAAATTACTGCTTGTTAAAGACCTTGTTGACAGCCCAACTCACGTCATTAATGTTCAGTCTGTCTTACTAAACTCACCAAACAAGTTAGACATTAGAAAAACTAAACATGGAAACCGTAACGTGTACCCAGTAGATTCAGCTCAGCACTTGCATCGATTAACCTTCTTGTTGACTATGATCAAACTAGAGGCCAGGGCACGATTTACCAGCCATGTGCATCTTCCCTTCACGAACATTGACATGCAACATCCAGCAACCCTTCATGGCCATTCTGACACCTCTCCAACGCACTGGCAGGGTGCACTGAAAGCATGGACTTGCATAATGGAGTACACAGTGAGTATGCCAGCACTGGTGGGGAAAGGTAGGCACTTGAGGATAGGTTGGGTGTGAACTTGAGAAAGTTGAAACGTGAGGTTTACGAGATCAGCTTCTAGGAAGAGGACATACACATTTGGAGGTTCACAGACACAGTCAGGCCAAGGGTGGAAACTACAGGCTAACAAGTACTCACTGTCGGATTCCATCAGTTGCAAAGAAAATAGCTGCAATCACACCAAGTAGGCAGAGTACATGACACACCCTGTGAGGAAGGGGGTTGCAGCAATCCACTGATCATGGGGCTTCTGAAGGAAAAGAACATTGATCACAGACCAATGCACTGCACAGAACACATATCTACTCTGCAGCCATTCTACAGCATTGACCTGCTCTGTATGTTGCACCTTCCTGCATAGCCACTGCTGGGCAACACATTGTCATCCACAGGTCCACCTTTGCATATAGAGGAAACTGAACACGACAGGTGTTGAATGAGGAAGACCAAAGGTGTCAGCATGTTCCAACGCGATATGTACCCATCGTTCCCATGGTTTCCAGATGATATAGTTAGGTTCTCAGGGCACATCCATCCATTGAGCCTGGACTGTGGCATTGAAGCAATTTAGGAAACTGTAACAATACGTTTTGGGCCAACACAGACAAACTAATTACCATGCATACTGTTAAAAACACAAAAATGTATACAAAAGCTGAGAGCTGAATACAGCCATTGAAACAAAACCTGAAGGTGGTGGAGAGGTTAGCAAGTCAGGCAACACTTGTGGAGAGAAAAACAAACTTAATGTTTCAAGTCTGGAGACCGTTTGCCATTTCTCTCTGGACTCAAAATGTTAACACTGTTTTTCTCTCTAAAGATGCTGCCAGTCCTGTTAAGTTTCTCCAGCATTCTCTGCCTTTTTTCAGATTTCGAGCATCTGCAGTTCTTTGTATTATACAAGACATTCTAACCCCTGAAGTTCCCTCAATAAATTTACTTTTTCCTCTCCCTCCCACACCTTAGTGTCCTCCCTACATCTGCAGCTGGATGGCAGAAGGCTGTACATCAGTGAAGCCGGTAGAACCTGGCGGTTTGGTAGGGGATCTCTAGGGACACTTGTGGCAGAACGTGGCAGAAGCAAGCTGACCCTCCTTAATCTGAGCTTCCAAAGGTTGGGGGTCCAGATAGGTTGGAGGTGGAGAGCCTGACAACTTTTGTAGTGTCTGGAAACTGTCAAGAGGCGTGCGCAAGATTCCTCTCCTCTGATGGATGCCTTCTGGCACCACTATTTCCTTGTAGGGAGTAGGCACCCTGGATTGGGGTCAAAGCTCCCCACTCCTATGCCACCATGCCTTCAGTCGTGAGGTGGGGCAATGGAGTGCAGGTTTGTGTGCATCACTAGCAGGGCCTGTGGATGTTGGGCCTAGTTCTCCACAGCATCTGCCAACAGAGGCTGACAGACAGTTACATGATTCATTGCACTCTTGCAGCCTCTGGGCAATGAGGGCCATTGTGTACCATATCCCTGTCTGCCACTCCTGTTCCTCCCTGTGCATGTAGATTAAGACTGACTGCTGACTGCTTTGCAGCCCTCCTGCATTGGGCTGAGGAGGTGCCTGGTCTACAGCAATACTGCAAGTGTCAACAGCTTAGAGCTGTGCATTTCTCCACAGGCATCGTAAGACCCAAGGGAGAGGCAGCATTGTGACCAGTGGTTAGAAGTGGTGTGCGCTGAATGAGACTGAGACAGCAGTTAATGGGAGAGTAGCAGTGATACGCAGAGTTGTAGTTAGTTATTTGGCAGGACATGTATGTCTCTGCATGCTTGCAGGAGCAATCTTAGTCTTTGCGTGTGGGCAAGCACTCTCTCCTATTGGGAATAAGGAGCCAAACGTTGGGTAACCCCCACCACCCCCTCCCCATGCCACCCATACAGCCTTGCTCTGTCCTGTTATGGTATGTCTTCTCCTGTAATAAGAGAAAGAGTGGGCTTGCATGAGATAACAGTTGGTGGCATGGCTGCTGGCACTGGTGCATGTAGGGGATGATGTTAAGGTTCCTGAGTGACTGGGGAAACAGTGCAGAGGTCATGCTGGGCTAGTAGTTTTGGAGGCTGAAGGGGGGAAATGGCAGTGAGTGAACAAAGGTGTTGCATGTAATACACACAGTGGCACATCATGAGCCTTGGTGAGAAGTGGGTGCATTGGCAGAGATAGACTGAATGCGAGATAGCAGAGGTTGGCACATACCATAACAGAGTGAAGAAGGTCAGTGATCTTCTTCCAACCCTGCTGGTCATTCCTCCACATGCTGGAGATGACAACTTTGGATCAGTTCAGTGTCTGATGGGTCAGACTCATCCATCAGTATTCCAGGAAGTGGACTTCTCTCCTTTGCAGCCCCTGCCCACCAGGGCCTCCAAGTCCCTGTCAGAGAATCACAGTGCCATCTTCCCCTTCTCTGCATATTCTAAACCTGTCATTTGATGAGCAGGACAGCTCATATTGTGTGTGTGGCTCATTTGAATTGTATATAGAACACAAGATAGACACAGGGTAAACTTGAACAGGGAATACTTTATTGTGCTTCCTCTCAGCTCCACAGTCTTTCCTAGACTACCTCCCCTAGCTCCTGCACTTGGTCACCAGACGCAAAGTGCCAAACAACATACATAACACCCTTCTCCCCTTACTTCCATACTTCCCTTTCAATATATATATACCCAACAACTATAACTATTATACAAGCATCGTAGGTAAGAATGAAACCGAAGGAACCAACACACCCAGATTCTACGGCCTCCCAAAAGTACACAAACCGGAAGTACCCCTTAGACCCATAGTCTCCCTACCAGGCACGACATCACACAGAATAGCCAAGGAACTACAAAGGAGACTGATGCACCTCGTCAACAAGTCACCCCACTCAATCCACTCAGCCCAAGATTTCCTAAATTCCATCAAAGACATAAGGATAGATGACGATGAGACCATGATATCGTTTGACGTCACTGCCCTATTCACATCAAAGACGTTCCCACTAGCAAGGGAAACAATAACAGCACTACTAGAAGAAGAACAAGACCCCAGTCAAACCATCTCCACAGACAACATGCTGAAGCTACTGGACTTGTGCCTCACCACCCACTTCACGTTTAATGGCCAAACATACGAACAGATCAACGGGACATCCATGGGATCACCTATCTCCGGAGTTATAGCCTAGGCAGTGATGCAAAGACCAGAAAGTACGGCCCTTCCGCTAATCCAACCAAAACTATGGATATGCTACATGGACGACACCTTTGTCATCATTAAACGGACCAAACTAGAGGAGACACACAAACTTATAAACAACACCCTCATCAGAATCAAATTCCCAGAGAGGAGGAGAAGAACAATCAGCTCCCATTCCTGGATGTCACGATAGAGCGCAGGACAAATGGGGAATTCCAAACAAAAGT